TCCCTCGGCCTACAAGCACAAACTTCCTGTTATTCATTCCGAAATAAAACAGCGAAAGTTGCACTGAAAAAAAAAGAATTATTTCAAATGTGTAAACACTCACCTCTCCTACAGCTTCCTGTCCAATAGGGTTCAGCTAAAGACAGAACCAAATTAGGCCCCTATTAAACCTCATTATACGCCACAATGGGCTGAGTCATATTTATCAGGTTAAATCTGTCCGTTTTTAATGGACGTGTTTTTAAACGGACGTGTTTTTGGGTTGGAAACCCTCCGTAGGCCTGAAGTGCTTGGGTTTGTTCCAGCTAAGTGCTCTCTGCTCTAGAATATGATTACACAAGTGACCGCAGCTGACCCCTCGCAGCAAACACAGCAGTTTGTTCGTTTTGCTTGCGACTGAGTGAGAATCAGTTTGTGCTGCTTACAGGAGCCAAACGTGTCAGTATGATTCAGTCTCTCTGCTCCGTTTGAGGATCTTTAAGGCCTTCTACCAATGATGGGGCTCAGCGCCTCGTACTCCAGCTGCTCTCACATGTCAGCTGACTCAAGACTCGACTCAGACTCATTCTTAAACAACTCAAGACCCGATTCAGTCTCCACCTAAATGACTTGATCCCGTTTTCCCCTTAAATGACTCAATATTCGACTCTGACTCATCCTTAAATGAATCAAAATTCAAATCGGACTCACTTTTAATGACTTAAGACCTGAAATTTGACTCAGAGCTGCTCTTAAATGACTCATGAACTTGCCAGGAATGCCCTTAAAATGACTCAGGACTCAAGTTGGGCTCATCTTGAAATGAATCAAGACTTGACTTCGACTCACCTTTAAATGACTCAAGATGTGACTCGTACTTGCCCTAAATGACTCAAGACTCGACTCAGATTCACATTTAAATGATTCAAGACTCAACTCGGATTTCTCATTTAAATGGCTCAAGACTCAACTTGGACACACCTTTAAATGAGTCATGCCTCAAGATTCAACTTTGTCTCGTCCTTAAATGAGTCAAAATTTAATTCAGACTCACCCCAAACGGCTCAAGACTCAACTTGGATACGCCTTTAAATGAGTCAAAACCCACCCTTACATGCCTCAAGATTCAACTTTGACTCATCCTTAAATGAGTCAAAATTTTATTCAGACTAACTCCAAATGACTCAAGACTCGACTCGGACTCACCTTGAAAGCATAGGCATGTCTAGCCCCTTTTTAGAGGTGCTCAAGCCAGTTACGGTGTGATTGTGTGGCTCAGCACCCCTAAATCTCTGATCATAGAATCGCCCCTGGACTCAAGACTGGAATCAGACTCACTTTTAAATGACTCAAGACTAGATACGGACTTGCCCTTAAACGACTTAAGACTCAAGACTCAAGACCCGACTCTGAATCACCCTTGAAAGATCTGAAATTTGATTCCTAAAACCCTTAAATGACTCATGAACTTGCCAGGAATTCACTTTGAAATGATTCAAGACTCGACTCGGACTCACCTTTAAATGACTCATGACTCTACACAGACTCGCCCTTAGATAACTCAAGGCTCATTTACATTTACGGCATTTAGAAGACTCTCTTATCCAACGCATGTTACAAAAATGTATCCTAGCTGGTACAAAAAGGTTGGAGTCCTGAGCTTAAACACTGCCAGAAAACAAAAGCCAGAGCTGATACCTAGAAAGGAAAATAGAGTTTAACACAGCAGAAGTGCAACACAATACATTTCAAACAGTACTTAGATCAGACCACATTGACTAAAGACTTGACTCAGACTCGCCCATGAATGACTCAAGACTTCACTCACCCCTAAATTATTTAAGACACGATTCAGACGCTCCCTTACTTAACTCAAGACTCAACTCAGACTCACCTTTAAACGACTCAAGTTGACTCAAGGACGCAAGACATGACCTCAGACTCGCCATTAAATGATTTATGAGTCGACTCGGACTAGTCCTTAAATGACTCTGGACTCGACTCAGACTTGCCCTTAAATGACACATGACTTAACTCAGACTGACCTTTAAATGTCTCAAGACTTGACTCAATCTAACCCTTAAATGACTCACAACTTGACTCAGACTCGCCCTTAAATGACTCATGACTCAACTTGGACTCACCCTTAAATGACTCTGGACTCGACTCAGTCTTACTTAATTTATATCTCAGATTCACCCTTAACAGAATTCAACAGGTTGTTTTTGTTAGTGAGCCTTTAAGATGAATATATGTAAATGAGCTGTTTTCTGATTGGCTGCCCTTGTTCAACAAGCAGTCCAGGCCGAAACACTCCTTATAACTTCAACATGGGGCGGGACTAAACTGCTGTAATATGAATGAGCAGATATACTGTATGTAAATAAGCTGTTTTTGCAATATCAGAGTGTAAAATATGCTGTTTTTATAGCAAAAATTCCACATATGTCTGTATGTTCTGGGTTCAGTGAACGCTATGTTTTTAAACTTTAACCATGTTTACATACAACATCCAAACTCAAAAACAGCGAGGAAAACTCGGTTGTCGTTGATATGGGCCCTCTAACTCATATAATATCAAAAATCAAACTGAATCTTGACCTCAAAACTGTAAAACAGACTGAACGTGAAAATGCGTATCATTACACATTACATATTTCACTGATGCATAACTGGCCTAAAGAACTGTCTTGGCTTGACTTTACACGCTCTGTTCGGGTCCGGCTGATGGCAGAGAGACGAGGCGTCTGCACGCCGCTTCGATGAATAGACACTGTCTGATTCAGAGCTGCTGGAGTTCATGAAGGGAGTTAAATACTAACACTTTTATAACGTATATTTCACCCCATAACATAAATCAGCTGGAGACCATGAGGATGAAGAAAAAGCTTCACTGTGTTCTCTAAATTTACATCCTTACACTTTTTTTGGTTTAATCTAGTCACTGACTCTTTAAACTCTAAGAGCCGGTTGTGTGGGTCCTGATTAAGCTTTAAGTATTTTGGACTAAACTGCAACGTCTGTGGTGTTTCACTAATAAAACCTACATTTTTGTTTAGGCTTAGGCTTAATCTGGGCCTGGTAAACCAGCACGAAGGGTCTCTATGCAGATCCTCATTCTTGTAATTATAGAATTTACACATTAGTTTCATAGCTGTTTCATGCAAGAGTGATTCAGTATTCAGTGCTATTATCACCTGATCTCTGTGTCTTTTATTTCAAATGCCCTAGGAACACCTTAGCAACCACCTGGGACACCATAGCAATGCCTTAGCAACACCCTTGCCTCGCCTTGCCCAGCAACCACCTGGTATTCCATGGCAAACGTCTAGCAACATCTCAGCAACCCTCTGGGACACCACTAGGAACACCTTAGCAACCACCTTGGACACCATAGCAAAGGCCTAGCAACATCTTAGCAACAAGTAGGACACCTTAGCAACCACCTGGGACACCATAGCAATGCCGTAGCAACACCTTTGACTTGCCTTGCCTAGCAACCACCTGATACACCATAGCAATGCCCTAGAAACAACTTACCAACCACCTGAGACACCATAGCAATGCCCTAGAAACACAGCCCCTCTAGCAAGCAACCACCTGAGACACCATAGCAATGCCCTAGAAACACCTTAGCAACCCTCTGGAACACCATAGCAATGCTCTAGAAACATCTTAGCAACCACCTGAGACACCATAGCAATGCCCTAGAAACACCTTACCAACCACCTGAGACACCATAGCAATGCCCTAGAAACACCTTAGCAACCCTCTGGGACACCACAGCAATGCTCTAGAAACATCTTAGCAACCACCTGAGACACCATAGCAATGCCCTAGGAACACCATAGCAATGCCCTAGGAATAGCCAAGGCCTAGCAACATCTTAGCAACCACCTGGAACACCTTAGCAACCACCTGATACACCATAGCAATGCCCTAGAAACATCTTAGCATCCACCTGGTATTCCACAGCAAAGGCTGATCAACATCTTAGCAACCACCTGGGACACCATAGCAATGTCCTAGTATCACTTTAGCAACCAGTATGTGGAAAATTACAAATATTGCATTCATTCTGTTATTTTACTCCAACGTTAAAATCACAGACTCTTTCCTGAGTAACACGACTGACACAACTGCTCTGACACACAGCTCAGCCACATTTATCAGAAATATATAAAGACATGTCACTGTGGAATTCGCAGAGCTGGTGCTTCTTTCTTTGAGGCATCCATACAAGGTTTCATTTTTTTGTTTCATTTGTTTTAATAACATTTTACTTTTCAGTAACAGATAGATCGATAGATCGATAGATCGATAGATAGATAGGTAGATAGATAGATAGATAAAATTAAATGTATATATTTCAATATCATTTCAACACAGGACAGACACTACTTTTAATGCATTTGTACAACTTTTACTGAAAATCAAGCATCAAAATTGTTGTTTCACATAAAAATTGTTTAGTATCTGTGAAGTCTCTGCTGTGACAGGCTAAAAATCACTAAAATACAAATTGGGAAAGTAGATTTATCATTTTGTTGGCTAATTTAGAAACAGAACAAAGAACACACATTAACACTGTGATTTATTCTTACTTTGAGCTTTACTGCCACTACAAAGGTAGAATGACCCTATTGTTATTATTATTATTAGTAGTAGTAGTAGTAGAAGTAGTAGTAGTAGTAGTAGTAGTATTAATAATAATAATAATAATAATAATAATGTTTTTTAATGTTTATGGAACCCTGCACTGCTCCCTGTCATTTCGAACGGTTGCTTAGTTGGTATCTATCTATTTGAGTAAAAGTTCAAAAGTACTTAAGTATCAACTCGAACTACTTTGATTTTGAATAATATTATTTTGATACATAAGTTCTGTTAAATCGAACCAGTTCAAAATAAAAGTGAGTGGAAGTGTTTGCTGCGTTTTGTCTCCACCTGGTGGCGATGCCCGTGAACCGCAGCTGTAGTCTCAGCTGATTTTGGACCAATCAGCGAGCTCAGACGTGAAACATGGCGGCTGCCATGAGCAGCAGGACAGGAGCGTTCAGAGCTGCTAAATAAACTATATTTAATATAAAACTGTTTTTATGCGCCAATAAGGAGAAAAGCCGCAGTCGAGATGAGTTTGTGGTCTGAAAAGGTGCTGCAGCTTCTGCGCCGGATGAACAGCTTCTGTTCCCCAGGTGTGCTGGAGTTTTAATGAACCTGCTCCTCCAGGTGAGGCGAAGTGCTCAGTTAAGGAAGGTGGTTCTTCAGGGGTTCTTTAGTAAAGGCAGTGGTTCTGTTTCGAACCGTGGGGTCTGTATAGAACCATTTGCGTGTGGTGAAATGGTTCTTTAGATACAGAATGTGTATGGTTCTATACAGAACATTTTGAAAAAAAGCACCAAAAGGGTTCTGTTATTGTGACGATGTCAGCAGGAGAAGAACCCTTTTTGGTGTTACACAGAACCATTTTGTGGTGAAATTGTTCTTCAGATTGATTGATGGAGAACGTGTTGTGTGTGGTTCAATATAGCACCAGAAATGGTTCTTCTATGAGGATGTCAAGCTTGCTACAGTACCAGAACCCTTTTTGGTGCAATATAGAACCATATCCAACACATTTAGAACTCAGTTCTAAATGGAGTCATTGCTTTTACTAAAGAACCCTTGAAGAACCATCTTTTTTAGCGTGTGTGTGACCCTCTCTGCTGTGCTTTCTTCCAGGCTCCAGTTTAGAAAAGTGCCTGCGGTTTGAGGTCGTGGGGCAGCAGGTGGGCTGGGTTCCCCCGAACGTGGTGTCCGTCCTGAGCAGGTTCCCTGAAGTCTTCTGCCCTCCACATGGGGGCGCTGTGGCTCTCTGCCCAGGGCTGGACTCTTTGGAGAGGAGGTCAGCTGCTGTGGAGGCTGTCCTGCAGGAGCTGAGGGACGGAGGAGCCTTCGCCTGTCTGAAAGGCTGGAGGAACGAGGTGAAGCTTGTGTCTGGAATTTTCCGTTCCACCTTAAATGGAGTGTAACTGCTGTACCATTTAAGGTGGAACGGAGAATTTGACCAAGAAGCCAGCACCTATTTGCTGTACTGTAACCTGACCTCTATAAAAATAACAAAAGTGAAGTTTAACTGCTTATTAAAGTTTTCTGTTTTCTTCTGATCTGTTAGTAAACATTACTTGATATATACTTTAATTCCTGTTTTATTTGCTTCCCTTTAATAATTGCAAATAAGAGAATAGGAATTCTTGTGTGGATCACTGAACTAGAAGAATAAGAAAGAAATAAAATGTTATATAAAAACTTGACGAGAATATACATATAATATACATGAACACATGAATATATACACAAATGCACATGCATACATACATATACACATAAATACGTACCATATAACACATGTATCTACACTAAGACCAGGGGCGGCAACCCAAATGTTACGAAGAGCCATTCTGTCATTTCAGTAAAAATCAAACCACCTTGGGAGCCACAACACTTCGTTCTTTTTATTGAAATAACGTTTTACCATCTTGTCTGAAATTATGTCTTAATATGTCCTGATATAGATTAAAATTATAATATCGATGAAAATCCAGACTTACTTTGCTCTGCTTTAAGCTTTAGCTCAGCTATAGCTGCTTTTCTCGCATCTCCAGCAGGAAACTTTTCATCAAAAGTAGAACAGTTTCTTGTAAAATGTCTCTCAACTCTTGACCTTTTTTTAACGAGGCTGAAGTTTCTCATTCGCCAGCTTCTCGTTCGAATTTTCCTGTTCCACCTTAAATGCAACTGCTGCTCCATTTAAGGTGGAACGGGAAAATTAGAACGAGAAGCTGACTTTGCGACTTTAGTGTTTGTCAGTTTGCTTATAAATACAAATAAGTCCATTCGTCTCCAAATTATCGATGTTGGTCTTAAATCTCTCTCTTTGCCGTTTCGTTAACTACTATCTAGGCGAGACTGTTCCTATTCGTCTGTGTTGCTATGGTGACCAGCAGTCTGTGCTGATCTTCAGGGTTAAAGGGTGAATCAGCAGTTCTACATTAACTCCAGAGTTTAAGACCATTTATTGTTAAACTGTGTTGAACGATCAGCAGAGCTTTATTTTACTGTAAAGGAGGATTATTTTATTTTTACCTACAAATCTGATTCAGCTGTGGAGCCACAACAGGGCAGTAAAAGAGCCGCATGCAGCTCCGGAGCCACAAGCTGCCGAGCCCTGACTTAGACAGACTTAGACTTGAAAGCAGTGTGATCAAACAAAGGCCGAGATAGAAAAAGTGAAATAAAAGATGATCAGAAAACAAAAACACTTCCTCTGTGATTCTGAGAGGAAGGGCAGCTTTATGTTTCGCCTGTTTGCTCTTTGTGGAGCAAACTCTTTTGTTTGGCTTGGAGCCGTTTCTTGTTTACACCTTGTTTTTCGGGCTTTTAAGTAGTTTTGGGGTCATTTCTCTCTTTTCTTTCCTTTCTGTTTAAATACCCACCTGGGCTGCGTACCGTACCGGTCACCCCTCTACAAAGGTGTGACAAAGGGCTGCTGTTTGCCACAGCCTTAAGTAGAGGTGTCCACAGGTGTGCCAGGTCAGGCCTAATCAGCCCGAGGGCTTCTGGGAATTGGAGTTCCCTGAACTTATGGGACCTCGCTGCTGTCGCCCTCTGCTGGTGGCCAGCGGCGCAGGCTGGACCCTTACAATTTCCTGATGTTACAGTATTCCAACAAGGATGGAAAAAGTTTGGGGGGGGGGTGGTTTATGTCAGTTTTTTGTGATGCCCCCCCTCAGAACCAGCCCTGATTCTAAAGATCTCTCTGCTGAATCTGCTCCTCTCTCTGCTGCAGAGGTACGCGGTGATGCCGAGGTACTGCGACGCTCCGCTGATGCACATGGAGAGAGCGGCAACCAGTAAGAGCTCATCACACCATCCTCACTCGCCAACACGCTCGAAAAGACGGTTCTTCAGGGTTCTTTAGTAAAAAGAATGGTTATATATTTTAGCTCAGTCAAGACTGTAGCTACTAAAATATCCTTGTTTCTACGCTCATTGTCCATTTTATCAGCTCCACTTACTATATAGGTGCACTTTGTAGTTCTACAGTTACAGACTGTAGTCCATCTGTTTCTCTGATACTTTGTTAGCCCCCTTTTACCCTGTTCTTCAGTGGTCAGGACCCCCATGGACCCTCACAGAGCAGGTACTGTTTGGGTGGTGGATCATTCTCAGCACTGCAGTAACACTGGCATGGTGGTGGTGTGTTAGTGTGTGTTGTGCTGGTACGAGTGGATCAGACACAGCAGTGCTGCTGGAGTTTTTAAACACTGTGTCCACTCACTGTCCACTCTATTAGACACTCCTACCTTGTGAGTCCACCTTGTAGATGTAAAGTCAGAGACGATAGCTCATCTGCTGCTGCACAGTCTGTGTTGGTCATCCTCTAGTCCTTCATCAGTGGTCACAGGACGCTGCCCACAGGACGCTGTTGGCTGGATATTTTTGGTTGGTGGACTATTCTCAGTCCAGCAGCGACACTGAGGTGTTTAAAAACTCCAGCAGCACTGCTGTGTCTGATCCACTCGCACCACCACCACGTCAGTGTTACTGCAGTGCTGAGAATTTACTTTGACATTTCTAAGAATGGAACACACTTAAGAACAAACTTAGGAGGATATTGGAGAATGAGGCTCAGTGTTCTGATGTACCCCAGAATGTAGCTCAGATGTATTCAATTAGCCAAAACATGTTTGAAGTTTTTTTGCAGTGAGGAGGAAAAAACTGTACATTTGATTTGAACTGTCGCTTTCAGGTCTGTTCGGCGTGAAGCGCTACGGCGTTCACGTTAACGGTTTCAGTCGGGATGGAAACGGTAATCTGAGCATGTGGGTGGCGAGAAGATCAAACACTAAACAAACTTACCCTGGAAAACTGGACAACCTGGTAACTGTATACACATCCACATCTATATATTCACACGTTTATACACTACTGTGCAAAAGTCAGAGACCCCCTGTTTAGACCGCCCATTCTATGAAATCTGCAGACACACCTCCAAAGTTCAGTCTTAGAAGCTGGTTGATGATTTTCTGAAGTAATCAAACACATTCAGTGGTGTTGAGGTCTGGATTCTGGGGTGGTCAGTCCATCGTTCAGCTTCTTTGTTTGATGTGTCCGTCTCCTTTTCTCAGTGAGGTTCTTCTTGATCAGCTACACATCCTTTCAGACCCACAGCGCTGAGTCGTCTTCTCACAGTGGAAGGATGGACAGAAACACCTGTGGATGTTTTCAGATCTGAAGCAGCTTGATTTTCTCCTCTCTCTCAGAGATGAAAGCTTTAAGGGGAAAACCACTGATTTTTCTGACATTCTGCATAATTAAATGGTTAAGATGTAAACAGAGTCATTCAGAGTGGTTCAGAGTGGTTTGGTGTGAAACGTCCAGTTCTAGAGAAACTTACCGAGTCAGAATTGTTCACAGTGGTGGTGATAGGAACCAGACGTCCACCTCTAAAAGCTCCCTCACAGAAAGTTACTACATGAAATGGTTATGAATTCACTGCCTGATGACTGAGACACTGTTTTATGATAGTTTTGAGAAGGTTTTGGTCTTAAACAAATTTTTATCAATTTATTTTAATCCATTTATGGTGGAGAAGACTCGTGTAGGTTCACTGGTGGTTCTGGATAGTAAATAAAATGTCTATATTTGTGTTGTAGTCATGGCGACCCCTGGTTCCTATCACCACCACTGTAAAGACATCTGAACCATTTCACACCAAACCACTCTGAATCACTCTGATTACATCTCACACACTCAATTGTGGGGAAATTTTGAAAAATCGGTGCAATTCCCCTTTAAGTGCTGTTTATCTGATGGGGGCAGTTTTGGTGTCTACCAGGTCTTCCAGGTGGCTGTTAGGAGACACATTTTCTCTGTAGCTTTTGTTCTTCTTCATTATGTAGGTGGATTATTTTATATCTAATTTCTTCAGAAACATCTAAAAAAATAAAGGACTTGTATTTAATGGCTGTTTGACTGGAAATTAAAGAATTGAAGGGGGTCTCTGACCTTTCTAGAGTTTTCTAGAGGTCTCTACACACTAACCAGCACTGTATTGATAACTGAAAGTAACGCTGATTGGTTTTGTGGATTTTCTGATGATGACTGAGGTTAAGAGGGTTACTAAGGTGACGCTGATGTGTGTGCAGGCAGCGGGGGGGTTGGCGGCGGGCTGCAGTGTTAAACACACTCTGGTGAAAGAGTGTGAGGAGGAGGCGTGTATCCCTGCATCGGTGGCAGAGAGAGCGACACCTGTAGGAACCATCAGGTACATCACTCTAAATCCCTTCTACAGCGTCAAGAAGGTAAATCCACACAAACCTGCACTGCCCATCAAAAGTTTAGAGACACTCTTTAAAACATTTTAAACTCATTAACGTTTTCTTTGACAGTTTACAAAAACACATCTAAACAGCTGTTTAAATTTAGCCGTTTCTCCTTGAAAACACTGCAAGACCTATTTTGAGAATAAAAGCGAAGTCCTCAACCCACCTTCTCCCCTTGTTGTGATGTCAGCACTCAAACCATTCAGGTGTTCAAACCACCTTTGGACCAAAACAGCTTCAGTATGTACTTTTAACATCCTGCTCTTCACACCAAGGAAGAGGCTTTGATCTACTATGAAAAAAATCTATTACTACCTTGTAGAAAAGGTTAATCATCTATGGCTAAAATGTAGATTAAACATCTACTGCTCCCTTATAGAGAAGGTGAAACATCCATCACCACCCTGTGGAGGTGAAACATCTACTGCTGCCCTGTAGTGAAGATAAAACGTACAGAAAATGACTGAAGTTTTGAAGTTTCAAAAAGTCACAAAGTCTCCCGAAAAAGCATTATTACACCAAATAATGGCGAATTTTATGTACATCAGCTATACATGATCAAATATGTGATTATTCTGTTTGTGAGAGAAATGTATAATTTATCATAAATACTGAATAATTTAGAGTAGTTACTGAGATATTTGTAGTAGACACTTGATAATATGTGTAGTTGATACTGAACAATTCATAAAGAATAATTCATAATAGTTACTGAATAATTTATGGGAATAATTCAAAGTACATATTGAATAATTTGTAGTAGGTACTGAATAATTACGACTAAATAATTTATGGGCGGTTCTTTACAGGGCAGCGCAGTGGTGCAGTGGGTAGCTCTGCCGCCTCACAGCAAGAGGGGTTCGATTCCCCAGCCGGGCGACCAGGGTGGAGTTTGCTTGTTCTCCCCGTGTCTGAGTGGGTTTCCTCCCACAGTCCAAAGACATGCAGTCCGGCTAATTGGACATGCTAAATTGCCCCCAGGTGTGAATGTGTATGTCTGTCTGTCTGCCCTGCGATGGACTGGCGACCTCTCCAGGGTGTTTTCTGCCTTCCACCCATTGACTCCTCCAGCTTCCCCCACGAGCCAGAAGGATGAGCGGCTTAGAAACGTAGACCTTTACAGGGACGTTTTCCCCCCTTTTACCTAATTAAAAATAACCATGAATCTCTCTGATTGTGAAAACATCTGTGGACATTTTGGGAATAAACATAAATATCTGCTTTTTAAAAACATCTATAACGCATTTGATTCTGTCCATCTGACGCCCCCCTCCGTCTGCAGCTACACGTATGAAGATGAAGATGGAGTTTTCCCTGAGTGCCAGTTTGTGTTTGATCTGGAGCTGCCCAGCAACTTCAGGCCTGAGATTGGAGATGGAGAAGTGCAGGACTTCTACTACTACCCTATAGAGAAGGTAATCAAAAATCTGGACCCTCTGAGGTTCTCTGAGGACCAGTTTGAGAACCACTGATCTAGATTAAGTCAAATTTATACTACTGCCCTACAGATAAGGTAAAACCCCATAAAGACAGTATACTACCCTGTAATAAAGGTAAAACATCTATACACTGCGAAAAAAGGTCTCTTGCTAAGTAGAATTAACTTAAATCGTCATTAAATCTAATATTTCTCCTGTTGAGGTTGTTGTGAGCTTAATTTAAGATTATTTAACTTAAACAGTTTAACCTAAACAGTTTACTTGTTTTAAGTAATTTTATTGAGTAAAATTATCTCACTATGTTGGCAGATAATTGTGCTTGTTGTAAGAAATCAGCTTGAAACCAGCAAAATTATCTGCCAGTATAGTGACAATTTTATTAATAAAATGACATAAAACAAGTAAAAAATTCTGGAAATGAGCTAAATAATCTTATAATAAGTGCACAACCATCTCAAAATGGGAAATATTAGATATACCGACTAGATTTAAGATCATTTCACTTGAAAAGAGACCTTTTTTGCAGTTTATCTATTCTAATGAGAAGGTAGAATTTCTTCTGCTACCATATAGAGTAGGAAAACATCTACTGTGGAATAAATCTGTTACTACCTTGTAGAAAAGGTTAATCATCTATGGCTAAAATATAGATTAAACATCTACTGCTGCCTTATAGAGAAGATAAAACATTTACTGTAGCACTGTTGCCTTATAGCAAGAAGGGCCTGGGTTCGATTCCCTGGCTGGGCGACCAGGGTGGAGTTTGCATGTTCTCCCTGTGTCTGTGTGGGTTTCAGGTCATATGCAGTTGTGAGTGTGTGTGTGCATGTATATGTCTGTCTGTCTGTCCTGCGATGGACTGGCGACCTGTCCAGGGTGTTTCCTGCCTTCCACCCATTGACTCCTCCAGCTGTGGAGGTGAAACATCTACTGCTACCCTGTAGTGAAGATAAAACATGTACTGTTATCCTGTAGAGAAGCTTCTGAGATATGAACATGTTCCTAATGATGGATTCTAACAGACAGACCCCAGACAGGCTCCAGGCAGTGAGAGTCGGCAGCCACACATCCACAACAACAGTGAGCACAGGGGTCCCCCAGGGCTGTGTGCTGAGCCCCCTTCTGTACACGCTCTTCACGTATGACTGCATGGTCTCCAAGAACAACACCAGCATCATCAAGTTTGCTGATGATACTACTGTCATTGGACTGATCACTGGTTGGGACGAGACAGCGTACAGGAAGGAGGTGGCTGAGCTGGTGGCCTGGTGTCATGACAACAATCTGTCCTTGAATGCAGACAAGACCAAGGAAATGATTGTTGATCCAAGGAGGAAGCGGGAGCTGCACACACCACCTGTACATAGGTGAGACAGAGATGGGGAGGGTGAAAACCTTCAAACTCCTTGGCGTCCACATCAGTGAGGATCTCACCTGGTCTCACAACACACACCTCATCATCAGGAAGTCCCAGCAGCGACTGTACTTTCTGAGAAGGCTGAGGAAATCTGGCATGCCAGCCAAAATTCTCAGCACCTTCTGCAGGAGTACGATCGAGAGTGTTCTTACCAGCTCCATCACGGTCTGGTGTGGAAGCTGCACTGCTCAGGACAGAAAGGCTCTCCAGCGTGTGGTCAAAACTGCACAGTCCATCTCAGGAGCAGCCTTCCCCTCACTACAGGACACTCATCACACCAGGGTCATCAGGAGGGCCCACAACATAATCAGGGACAGTACACCCCCCAGACTCTTTTTTTATATTTCTTTTTTTTTCTAAGATTATATTGGTGAATGGAGGAACAGCAAAGTCAGTATTTCATCGTACAGTGTAGCTGCCTGTTTCTGCTGTGCATATGACAGTAAAACTCTTTGCAGAGAGCGTTTTGTTCAAACATGTTTGTCCATAACAGGAAAAACTGTTTTAATGTAATGTTCTTATCGTGTAAAATAAATAAAATGTGTGTATTTGTGTGTTGAGGTGAAGGAGCTGCTTGCGACCGAGGAGTTTAAGCCCAACTGTGCCATGGTGGTGCTGGACTTCCTCATCAGACACTCCGTCATAGAGCCTGACTCAGGTGTGTACTGCACACACAGCCTTACTTACTCTCACTTCCTGCTTTTATTCAGGGACGTCAGCTCTCGGAGACGTTCGTCCTGCAGAGTTCAGCTCCAGCTGTGATGAATCTGATTCAGACAGGCTGTGGCTTCACTACCGCCTGAGTATCAGTCATACGTGAGACGGGCTGATCCGGTGGCCTTTAACCCTCATGGTCAAAAAGTCTGCCGAAAAAGCATTATTACTCCAAATAATGGCAAATTTTATGTATATCAGCTATATGTGATCAAATACGTGGTTATTCTGTTTGTGACAGAAATGTATAATTTATCATAAATACTGAATAATTCAGAGTAGTTACTGAGATACTTATAGTAGGCACTTGATAATGTGTAGTAGATACTGAACAATTCATAAAGAATAATTCATAATAGTTACTGAATAATTCATAGTCAATACTAAATAATGATACTGAATAATTCAAAGTACATATTGAATCATTTGTAGCAGGTACTGAATAATTACAACTAAATTTATGGAAGTACAGAATAATTTATAGTAATTACTGAACTGCGCATACTGAAAATTATACTCTGTGTTGAATAATTTGCAGTAATTACTGAAAAATGTATAGTAGATAATGAAAAGTTTATTTTTACCGTTTTATTTATATTATTACTGAATAATTACAACTAAATAATTTATAGGAGATACTGAATAATAGGTAGTAGTTACTGAAACATTAATAGTAGATACTGAATAATTCATACTGAAATATTTATAGTAATTACTGAACAATTTATACTGAAATTTCTACTAGAATATTGAATAATTTGGAGATACTGTAGATACTGAAAAGTCCATAATTGACATTGAATAATTCATAGTAGTAACTGAACATATCATAAAGAATAATACACAGTAGTTACTGAAAATTCATAATAGTTACTGAATAATTCAGAGTAGATGCTGAATAATCCATACTGAATAATTTGAGATAAATAATGATACTGAGTAAGTCAAAGTGCATATTGAATAATTTGTAGTAGGTACTGAGTAATTACAATTTACTGAAATTTATATTGAAATTTATACTATATGTTGGATAATTTGTAGCAGATATTGAACAGTTCATGGTTGATATTAAATAATTAGTAATTATTGAACAATTCATACTAAATAATTGATAGTAATTAAACAGTTCATAGTTGATATCTAATAATTAATTTTAGTTACGGAATAATTCATACTGAAAAAAATATACTAGATATTGAATAATTTTTAGTAGATATTGAACAGTTAATAGCAGATACTGAATAATTCATAGTAGTTACTGAATAATCATTGTCAAGATTAATAACTGAATATTAAGCCTGCAGTTTAAGGCTTCAGGTTGACTGTTTTGTTTTTTCTGTCTGTTCCTTTCAGAGCCATATTATCAGGAGTTTGTTGCCGGCCTGCACAGATCACTGTAAACACTCCAGCTACGTCTGCACACATTCTCCATTTCCCCACGTTTACATCTGAGTCCTGAAAAAAACACGACAAATACTTACTCTATAAGATTTTTTATTTTCTCTCAGTACTTTAAAACTCCGAAGATGCGTTGGTATACAAAAGATTATTGATGCATCAAAGGTTTTTTCTATTCTCACAATGAAATGCAGAATCTCTTAAGAAATTACTTGCATTTTATAACATGGCAATAAAACAGTTTCCTCCAAATCTTCACTACTTTGGACTTTTTTCTTCCTTTTAAGACATAAATTCTAACATCGTATATTTAAAATATAAATGAAAACGAAACAGAACGAGCCAGTAGAACGCCACAAAACTGCTAAAGCATACAGCGTGCTGCATACTGCTGAAGCACATGGTACAGTAAAGGAAAACCCAGCGGAGGGAGCTTCTCCTGGGTTTGTAGTTTTTTTGTTTCGTTTTTTTCTTTCTGAAGAAATAAAGGAATCCATTTCTCAACATCAGCTATAAAAAACTGGCACACAAACCAGAGGAACCAAAAAAAGAAACACAAACCAAACAGTAACTGACGGCCCGCGTAACTGCGGCCTTTAGTTTTATCAATTCTGAGCTTCGATAGTGCTGATCGACCTGATGTTTCCTTTAAAAAATCACATACACAAAGGCGCATATAAAATAGCCACAAAAGTAAAGCATTAGTATCGTTACTGCTAAATGCGTTTCACTTAGAACTTTATAGGCAAGAGGCAAAAACGTGAGTTACATTTAAATAGGTCAAAAACGCTCGCGGTATCTGAGACTTATAAGACTGATAACGATTTCAACCAGTGACTAAACTGAGGGGGGCGGGGCTAGAGAGGGGTGTGTTCTGTTAAAGTGATAGTTTGGGGGGGGTGGATTTCAACATTTCCCACTCAAATGCAGTCGACAGGCCAAAATGTTTGGCGTCAAATTTCTTTCGTTTTGCACTGAAGCTGAGATGGAGCCAAAAAGTGATGCTCGCTTAGACTGCGTTCATATTACCAGGCTGAAGTGGCACAAATCTGATTTTCTGCCCTAATGTGACTCAGATCTGATGTTTTCAGGGCTGTGTGGACACAAATCTGATCTTTCCAAATCCGACCTGAGTCACTTTCATATGTGGTCCTAGATGGGATACGTATCCGGTTCGTGGTCATGTGACCTTAATGTGACGCTCAGATCGGAATTCATGTGCTTTTTTTCCACTGCGCTGCGCCATCATTCAGCGTTACCATGGCAGCCTGTAAACGGTGGAAAAGCAGCTCATCTCACCTTTTTCTCCTTCGTCTCGCTCTAATAATGAAGCTGAGAGCTGATCAGAGTTAATTATCTTCGTAGCCATATGCTCCACCAATTAGCATGCACTGTGGAAATCTTATTTTCGTCAAACTATCGCTTCACGGGCGGGGTTAGTGTGTCTTCAGGTGGGGAGAAAAAGATGAACGTACACAGGACAGTATCAGTACAGCTGACAGCAAAAAAACAAACACTGGGTCCCTGGGAGCCGAGCAGAGCCTGAGGCGGCGGCTGAATCGGACGCGACTCCCCCATTACAGTACATAAATCTGCACCCTGACCAGTGGGCATCGTAATCGCATGAACAGGAGTCACTTCAGATTCAGCATTTGTCCTGTCGAGGCTCCGCCCACAAACGTGTTCTTCCGTAGCTGCCGCCTTGAGGTCGGACAAGCAATCCCAATCGACCTAACGGATAGACGTGACTGCGTAACGAGAACGTCTGGGGACAACCGTGAGAAAACTCCTGACTAAATGTGATAGGCGTGTAGACTTAAAGGACAAATTACTGTTATTGAACGTATAACATACTGCGCTCCACTTCATCCATTCAAACAGCTCACTTTGTCCCCCTCTCCCTTTTCATTCATCAGTCTTTTGTCTTGCTGCCATCAGCCTCTTCTGAACAAAATTTATCTCTTCACATCACGGCAGTTTCATGCGGCGTCGCTATGACGACCAGCTACATTGAAGGGGCGCTATATCTACAGTGGAAAACGAAGTAGCTGGTACCAAAACGGCTCTTAAATCAAGTGAACTATCAGTAAATAAGTTTACTGATATGGAAAATGTTCACTTGATTTAAAAGCCGTTTTTCCACTGCATGGTTCCTGCTCAATCGACTCGACTCGCTTTTGGTACCAGCTACTAAGTTGTCCGCTGCAGATAAAGGCTGGGGTATATACATTGGGCTTGTCCTTCTTTAGATCCTGCTGGTGTGGGTTCAGTTCTGAGTTTAAGTACTGACGATATCCACGAGACACTCAGAAAAGCACATCGCTGCTGTCGGAAGAAAACCTTGTATCTCCAAAATGGTAACTTTACAGGAGAAGGAAAAAACAGACCTTACTTTTAATGTAAGGCAATGGAACCAGACTTTTTTCCCAAGTCAGTTTGGGCCGTTTCTTTTAGTCCATTCATCATGAAATTTACACACAATGTAAAGGGTAACAGGCGTTTTCAAATTAGGTCAAAAACTGAAAAACGTCAAAAATGGAGATACGAGGTTTTCTTCCGACAGCAGCCATATTGTGATGCAATAAAGATAAACATTGTCATTTTGTAAAAATAAACAACGCTTCTCGAGGGGAAAACCTTAAATTAGCTAACGATAACATTCTGCTAACTAGCTTGTTGTGATTATGTTATCGATTCTACTCCAGATAAACCGGAATGTGCTAGAGGAAATTTGGGGTGGGGTTTACAGGGGCGGACCCTTGTATCCAGCACAAGTTTATCAAGTTGTCCCCATATGTGTATTCTCATCATGTCTGGCCTCGTAAGACTAATGGGAAACTGTAGCAGACTCCATTTTTTTGTGTCAAAATAAGCTAATTTAGGGTGTTATTCATTTCAAATGAAATAAAAACACCTAATCTAACAGTGTGACCTTTCACACATACACAAAATAATCATTTGGAATTAATAGGGCCAAATATTTTAAAAACTTCACTATGTTGGTGTTTGTTTTTCGTAAATTATGTTTAATATTCAGAAACTTTGTTTTTTTAAGCCATTACAATTAAAAAGAGGCTGATACAACACAGAATTTGATGAATCATCCCAAATATGTGAGTACAGTGATCCTTATCCGTGTACGGCTTGGTGGGCTTTTCATTGTCCCAGCCCTCGTATTTTGCGAAAAACGATTGAGTTACGATTTCTCATTACAGTCGAACGCAATTAAATTGAAACCGTTAGCTACAAAAGAACACATTTGGGGGCGGAGCCTGGATGCATCAATTAGCAAATCGCTGTCTTGTGCCTGATGAACTTTACCAAACTCACTTTCCTGACCTGATTAATGTCCACTACAAAGGCTTTAGGCTAATCCTGATCTGGAAATGGACAAACAGCACACATCGTGCTGGAAAGAAATATCTAGGTCCCTTTTTTTGTTGTTTCCCCGCAATCTTTAGGTCCTTTGGCCTGCTTTTGTAAAATGACCCTCCCCAAATGCTTAGCTAACACTAGGGGGCGCACACTCCCTCCCATATTTCTTTCTTTCTCTCTCTCTCTCTCTCTTCTCTGTGGCCTGGTTTGGTTTCCCTCCCCCCCCTTCCCTCAAAACTCCCCTCTTCCTCTATAGTAGAGCGCAGCCACTCTTCTTGCTACGTTTCTTGGCTTGCAGCGCCGCCCTGGTGGCCATCTCGAACACTTCCCTCACACCGTCCTTGGTTTTGGCGGAGCACTCCAGGTATCCGGAGGCGTTGATGCGGTTGGCCATGTCTCGCCCTTCCTCCCCTTTAACGGGCTCCTGTTTATGAATACAGGAAACAAACAGAGTGAAGCAATTATCCACAAACGCGTTAGTGCAGACCAACATGCGGCAACACTTTCTATGAATGTCACTTTGTAAGCATCTATAACACATTCATAACATGTTATAATGCATTCATAAGGCATTATAAACATGGCTATAAATATTTATAAAAATGCATTATACATTATAGCCATGCTTATTATGCATTATGAATTGTTAACACAATACATTATAAGTAGTGATCATAACAAATTATGAGCTCATAAGTCGTATTTGTCCACTCTAAGTAAAGTGAAGCGTACTGTACTAAAGCCTCCTCCAGTGTTCAGAGTGAGGCTTCAAGTTGAAGTATTTACTGAAGGATTTACTGAAACACTAAAACATCACAGTAAAGCACATTACAGGCTTCAAATGACAGAGTTTAAACTAGAGCTGCCATCAGTGTTTTACCCAATGTGGGAAAGGTAATGTACACCACCGTTAGCTTGGCGCTCACTTAACACTGCATGTCCAATAGAATGCTAGCAGAAATTAGCATTACTGTACTGTAGTGTACTGATGTAGTATAACATGTTATTAACACTACTTATAATGCATTATATTAACAATTCATAATGTGTAATAAAAATGGCTATAAAGTGTAATTCACTGAAATTCATTTTTATGAACATTTATAACCATGTTTATAATGCCTTATGAATACATTACAACATCATAAATGTGTTTATAGATGCTTACAAACATGCTATTCATAGAAAGTGTTACCCAACACGCTCTTATGGGGGTAAAGTAGGAACTAGGAGAGAGTGTGACTGATTTGAAACTTTTCCATAGCACCCCCTTTTTTAGCCTGTGGTCATCTTCACATTCGGCCAACTGTTATTTTTTTTACTAGGATTCTGACATTTACCAGTGTCTCTTATGTGGGATTTGTTCTTAGGTGAGAACAGAATCTACACACACTCAAGAGCACAAAGGTGAGAACAGTTCTGAGCTTTAAGAACACGTCATGATTCTGACGTAGACTTTTTCTTAGGACTTTTCTCAAGAACACATTTAAGAAAAAAAAAAACGGATACTGGAAAATGAGGCCCATTGATTGTTACTTTAACCGCTTTTCCACTAAACGGCACCGACTGGCCTCGACTAGACCTTTTCTGGTTCTCCATTAGGCAAATCTGGTACTATTTTTGGCATCATCTACATCGCGGTTTCAAGCGAGCTGTGCCGATACCAAAAGAGGACGTGGAAAAACTGCAGACTGCTGATTGGCCGGAGAGAATCGCTGAACACGTGCTAATGTTAGCTATAAGGTTAGCATAGCCTCTTAACCAGAATCGTTTGGTCAACTGAACTCTTACATAGTTTTTCCCGAATTCTTAAAGTGGTTGTTTTGCTGCCATCAGCCTCTTCTGAACAAATGTGTCTCCTGCACGTCACAGCAGCTTCATGCGGTGTTGCTATGACAACCAGCTACATTGAGGGGGCACTATATCTGCAATGGAAAACGAAGTAGCTGGTACCAAAAGCGAACAGAGTCGACATTTTCCATATCAGTAAACTTATTTACATTTGTTGTAAATACCACCAGTACTGAATGTACTGAATGGCGTTATTAATTTCAAATTAAATTGTACTTTCAGTACTGGTGCTATTACAGTACAACAAATGTAAGTAAGTTTACTGATAAAAGCCGTTTTTCCACTGCATGGTACCTGCTCAATCGACTCGACTCGCTTTTGGCAGGTAAAGTCTGGGGTATATACAGTGGCCTTGTACTGCCTGTGAACACTTGGCTGCTGTAAACATATATGCATTCTTTAGATCCTGCTGGTGTGGGTTCATGCCAGTTTCTTCCCTTTCGATGATGCACCCAAAAATACTTGGGTACTTATAGCTCCACCTTGTGGAGAATCTTTAGCCTGCTTAACGTAACTGAGTGAGTCTCACTGTTTCAATACAGTCTTTAACATGCTCTCGTTGACTTGTCCTCACCATTTCCCCTTGAGGGGATCCTCAACGCCATGTTAAGAGCCGTCACGTGACTACTACAGTTCTTATTCTAACCCCAAAGCTCAAACAAAGACAAAGCAATTATTCACAAAGTTTAAATTCTTTACACTCAGGCTTACATTGCTTGGTTGGCTTATTAGCTCAGTGAAGCTAGGTTATACAAACATCAACTGAAAAATACGCTTATAATATTTTCTTCTTTCTGTGTTTTGTGAATGGCCACTTGTGTAATGTAGGTGCTGCATGTTTGGCAGCTTGTGAGGGTGTTAAACTGCTGGAATCTGCCAGGACGCATCTAAAAACGTTAATTGCCCCCAAATGCAAAAATGCCAAAGTGCTAAAAACTCTGCACTCGGCACTCTGCAGGTATTTTTAAAAATCAGAATTTTTATGCCACAGAAACTGATGATATTGACAGGTGCAGCGGTCAATGATGATCAACTGTTATCTAAATAATTGCAATGAATGATTTAATTTTATTTTCTTTTTCTTGCAACTACTGATGCCTTAAGTATGAGCCTAAAGTAGCCAAACTGGCTCATTAGCCACCTGACTTCCTGGCTATGTTTACTTAGTAGCTAACATTGGTTGTGCTGTCGAACTGATACACACACACACATAAGCGTCTACAGTTCCAGTGAATCACCTGTAGAGTAGAGCAAAGCTTACATTTTTCTTGAGAGTAAAAAGCAAACAAACGCTGACATCATACACGTATGAATAACAGCGCTGCCCTCTAAACATGTTAGAGCGCGTTAAAACAAACTTTTTCTGTTTTCATAAGATTCATGATGTCGCAATGAATGAATTCACTGCTTTCTTTAATTTGCATTTATTTGCCTCAACACACAGCATACGCCAATCAGGCATAACATTATGACCACCTCCTTGTTTCTACGCTCATTGTCCATTTTATCAGCTCCACTTACTATATAGGTGCACTTTGTAGTTCTACAGTTACAGACTGTAGTCCATCTGTTTCTCTGATACTTTGTTAGCCCCCTTTTACCCTGTTCTTCAGTGGTCAGGACCCCCATGGACCCTCACAGAGCAGGTACTATTTGGGTGGTGGATCATTCTCAGCCCTGCAGTAACACTGACGTGGTGGTGGTGTGTTAGTGTGTGTTGCACTGGTCTGAGTGGATCAGACACAGCAGTGCTGCTGCAGTTTTGAAACACCTCAGTGTCACTGCTGGACTGAGAATAGTCCACCATCCAAAAATATCCAGCCAACAGTGTCCTGTGGGCAGCGTCCTGTGACCACTGATGAAGGACTAGAGGATGACCAACACAAACTGCGCAGCAGCAGATGAGCTATCGTCTCTGACTTTACATCTACAAGGGGGACTGACAAGGTAGGAGTGTCTAATAGAGTGGACAGTGAGTGGACACAGTGTTTGAAAACTCCAGCAGCACTGCTGTGTCTGATCCACTCAGACCAGTGCAACACACACTAACACACCACCACCACGTCAGTGTTACTGCAGTGCTGAGAATGATCCACCACGCTAGCTCAACCACAGATAACATTAGTTTAACATAGATTGCCATGGTGACACCATATTATTCATGTGTGTATGATGTCATGTTTAAATAAATAAATAAATAAATAAAAGCCTGTATCTAAAAATGTACAACCACATCAATTTGAACTGTAATCTGTAAAATGTAAATTCAGATAAATGAAGAGTTTTTAAGGACCCACAGACAAGCCGTGAAAAGAAGCCCTTTAGTTTCTACAGACCTGTTTCATCTTGGCCAGCTCCCGTCGCGTGTGCTCGTCATTGCGAAGGTCCTTTTTGTTTCCCACCAGGATGATGGGCACATTCGGGCAGAAGTGCTTCACCTCCGGCGTCCACTTCTCTGGAATATTCTCTGTGGGGACGGAGAAGACACAGGGGCTTAAAAAACCACTGCAGTTCAAAACAAAAAAAAAAACAAAACATTTATTCTTCAATATCTTCTGATTGATGGCTCAGACTTGATATGACCCCAAAAACTATGTATACAATAATATATAGTCATAGAACTATTAACAAATGCCTACAATGAGCAGAAGGGTGTGTTCACTTATTTTCACATAGGCTATGTTCACATTACCAGGCTAAAGTGGCACAAATCTGATTTTTTGCCCTAATGTGACTCAGATCTGATGTTTTCAGGGCTGTGTGGACACAAATCTGATCTTTTCAAATTCGACCTAAGCCATTTTCATATGTGGTCCCAGATCGGGTACGTATCCGATTCGTGGCCATGCGACCTTAATGTGACGCTCAGATCGGAATTCATGTGCTTTTTTTCCACTGTGCCATCATTCAGCGTTGCCATGGCAGCAGCGCCGAACAGAAGTTAAAGCCTGTAAACGGTGGAAAAGCAGCTCTTCTCACCTTTTTCTCCTTCGTCTCGCTCTAATAATGAAGCTGAGAGCTGATCAGAGTTAATTATCTTCTCAGCGAAGCTCGTTCTGCTCGTTAGTTTGTGCTGATGATGCTCGTAATTCATTCACGTGACGTTACTGAGTAGGATGAGCTCATGAGGGTCATTTCAGGACTCCGGTTCGTCACATTAATGACAGATTTGAGTCACTTACCTAAACGAGTGTGAACGAATGTGAACGTAGCTTAAGAAAAGCAATACAACATGGAATCTGACCAGGGGCGCCCAAACTTTTGCATATGCCTATATCAGCTCCTGCCAAAAATCCCCCAAAAATCCAAAAAGTCTATAATTTATAAGCTCAGCCTGCCCATTTGAATGCGGGTGTGTCCAATGCACAAGCCCCGCCCACTTTATTCTGATGAGCTGCACCCAGATGACCAGTTTTGATCACTGGTTGTTTCCACGGAAGACAGTAAATGAAAGATATTCTATATTCTCTGATATTCTCTCTGCATACTTCACTGTATTCATCCACTCTTAAAAAAGATGGTTCTTCAAAGGTTCTTTAGTAAAGAAAATGGACCATGAACATTCAAAGAACCCTTTGCATGATTAAAGCGTTCTTTGTATTATGAAAGGGTTCTTCAGATTGATGTAGAATGTGTTTCATATGGTTCTACGTTGACAAAAGTCACAAAAGAGTTCTTAAGAATGTGCTGTAGATGCTGTGGAAATGGTTCTATACAGCACCAACAAGCGTTCTTCTATTGTTATGATGTCAAGCTTCTTACAATAGAACAACCCTCTGGGTGCTATGTAGAACCATTTTCAAAAAGGTATTATATAGAACCATCGACAGCACATTCTCCATTAATCATGCGAAGGGTTCTTTGAGTGTTCATGGTTCTATACAGAACCGTTTTCTTTACTAAAGAACGCTTGAGCGGTCTATCATATAATTTAACACAACAGCGACAACATAGTTCCCGGCCCTAAGAGTGACGGGCGCTCACCCAAGCTGTCCGGGCTGTCGATGGAGAAGCACATGAGGATGACGTCAGTGTCTGGGTAAGACAGCGGCCTCAGCCTGTCGTAATCTTCCTGTCCTGCCGTGTCCCACAGCGCCAGCTCCACCTGATACCACAACAGCACAATATTCTTTATGTACTGCAGCCTTTTAACCCCTCAGACCCCTCTGAAGGTCCAAACGTCAGTTTCCCACTCTCATAACTACAGAACTCAGACGTTACATACTGAATAATTCATACTAGACACTCAATAGTTCATAATATTCATAGTAAATCTGAATAATTCAGTTTATTCAGTTACTGAATTATTTATAGTAGATACTGAATAATTCATAGGCCATTTATAGTAGATACTGAATAATTCATAGGCCATTTATAGTAGATACTGAATAATTCATAGTCCATTCATAGTTACTGAATTATTTATAGTAGATACTGAATAATTCACAGTCCATTCACAGTTACTGAATTATTTATAGTAGATACTGAATAATTCATAGTCCATTTATAGTAGATACTGAATAATTCATAGGCCATTTATAGTAGATACTGAATAATTCATAGTCCATTCATAGTTACTGAATTATTTATAGTAGATACTGAATAATTCACAGTCCATTCATAGTTACTAAATTATTTATAGTAGATACTGAATAATTTATAGGCCATTTATAGTAGATACTGAATAATTCATAGTTCATTCATAGTTACTTGAATATTTCTAGGAGATACTGAATGATCCATAGTTCATTCATAGTTACTAAAGTATTCATAATAGATACTGAATAATTCATATTATTCATAAGATACACAGTACACACTGAATATTCATAGTAGATGCTAAATATTCATAATATTTATAGCAGATACTCAACAATTAACTTGGTGAATAAGTTATAGAATTCATAATACATACTGAATGATTCATAGAGGTTATTGAATATTCATAGTAAACACTGAATAATTCATGGTATTTATAGTAGATATTGAACGATTAACTTAGTGAATGAGTTATAGTGTTCATAATACGTACTAAATAATTCATAGCAGATACTTAAAGTTTATACTAGTTACTGAATTATTTATGGTAGTTGCTGACTAACTCATAGATATTGCATAATTCATTGTATTCATAGTAAAAACTGAATAATTTATAGAAAATGATAAATAATTCATAGTTGTTGCTGAACAATTCATAATAGTAACTGAATAGTTCACAGTATTCATAGTAGGTAACGAATAATTCATAGTAGATGCTGAATAATTAATAGTAAACGGTGAATAAGTTACAGTATTCATAATATATACTGAATAATTTATAGCAGATCCTAATAATTCATACCAGTTACTAAATTATTTATGGTAGTTACTGACTAACTCATAGTGGATACTGCATACTTCACTGTATTCATACACTCTTAAAAAAGATGGTTCTTCAAAGGTTCTTTAGAAAGAAAATGGTTCTATATAGAACCATGAACACTCAAAGAATTCTTTGCATTAATAAAGGGTTTTTTGCATCATGAAAGGGTTCTTAAGAATGTGCTGTGCATGGTTCTATACAGAACCTTTTCGAAAAGGGTTCTATATAGCACCAAAAATGCTTCTGCTATTGTTACAATGTCAAGCTTGCAACAACAGAAGAAGCCCTTTTCAAGAAACATCTATACCATCTAAACCATCTATAGCGCATTCTCCATTAATCTGAAGAACCCTTTCATGATGCAAAGAACCTTTTATTAATGCAAAGAATTATTTAGTGTTCATGGTTCTATATGGAACCATTTTCTTTATTAAAAAACCCTTGAAGAACCAGCTTTTTTTAAGTGTGTAGTAAAAACCAAAAAATTTATATGCACATGCTAAATAATTCATAGTTGTCGCTGGACATATCCTAGCAGTTACTGAACAGTTCATAGCAGATACTGAATAATTCACAGTATTCATAATAGATATAAAGTAATTAACACTAGTGTAAGTTATAGTATTTGCAATATATACTGAATAATTCAAAACAAATGCTAATAATTCGTACTAGTTACTAAATTATTTAGGGTAGTTACTGACTAACTCATAGACATCGCATAACTCAATGTATTTGTAATATAGACTAAATAATAATAGTATATGCTAAATAATTCATGGTAGCTGCTGAATAATTCATAGTAAATACCGAGTAATTCCTAGTAGATACTGAGTAAATCCTTCTAATTCTAACTCATAGTATAAACTGGATATTCATAGTAATTACTGGACCCCAGATGTAAACCCAAAGCGTTGGTGTCAGGGTGGAGTGCTGACCTGTTTGCCGTCCACCTCGATGTCTGCAACATAATTTTCGAACACTGTAGGTACATAGACCTCTGGAAACTGATCTTTACTGAACACGATGAGCAAACACGTCTTCCCACAGGCTCCATCCCCCACGATCACCAGCTTCTTACGAATCGCAGCCATCTGAAAATCACCACAGAAAGGGTAAAGTTCAGAAAATCAAACAATACAGAGCCAATACAGAGACCAGGGACTGAGAAGTTATGATGATTAGAGTAAAAACAAATCAAGTGTTGAAAAAAAAGTAATAGTCATCATAGTAGTAAAATTTAATAGTTAAAAATTAAAACAAAAATCAATAGAACCATTAAAATTACAACAATATAGTAACTGAATAAGCAACAGATCAGATAAAGATAAAATAAATAGAAAACATAATTAATGAAATAAGTAGAAATAGAAGACGTAAGACAATAAATTGGCAATAATAAAATAAATAGAAAGAATCAAATAAATAAAAAGAAAAATAATGAGTGAAACAATAACTAAAACATACCAAAATCATCTTAAAAAAACAGGTAAAATAGATATGATGGCATATGGCCAGTAAACATTTTATAGATAAAATAGCCACCTATTCTGAAGGAGCTCCATCAGCTGAAAGATGCATTTATTTTCCTGAACAGCTTTTATGGAATATATTTCAATGGAAATGTGTACAGATCTGAATTTTCGTTTTCGTGATTGAAGAAACAAGTCAATACCTATAAAACTGTTTGAGTTCTATTTGTTTATTGAGTCAATTATGCAGAATTGTTTGATATGAAGCTTTTGTGCATTATTTTCACTCCTCATTGCTCACTAGCAGTTCAACAGAGTCACAGTATTTCACACACTGAGAGACAACAGAGTCCCAGTCAATCTGACAACAGAGTTATGGGTGAAAAATGATTTATTTGTTTGTATTAATTAAAGATATCTGAGTCAACTTCCATTCCACAGGCGGAACAGCCTGAAAATTGAGGCTACGGCTCTCTGAAAATTTAGCAAACAGCAGCAGGAGCTTCTTCCCACAGACCATCGGACTACTCAGTTCCCTCTAACAGTACACAACATGCTGGCCTATCAGGACTGCTGAACTCCTGAACATACAGACCGTCTGAACACTTTTAGTGGAACTCAGATGTGTCTTCTACATAAAAATGCAGCTATTTTTCTGTGCAATAATTTCAATTTGCTCATCAGACATGACCACCTCCTTGTTTCTACGCTCACTGTCCATTTTATCAGCTCCACTTACTATATAGGTGCACTTTGTAGTTCTACAGTTACAGACTGTAGTCCATCTGTTTCTCTGCATACTTTGTTAGCCCCCTTTTACCCTGTTCTTCAGTGGTCAGGACCCCCATGGACCCTCACAGAGCAGGTACTATTTGAGTGGAGGATCATTCTCAGCACCGCAGCAACACTGACGTGGTGGTGGTGGTGTTAGTGTGTGTTGTGCTGGTGCGAGTGGATCAGACACAGCAGTGCTGCTGGAGTTTTTAAACACCTCAGTGTCACTGCTGGACTGAGAATAGTCCACCAACCATAAATATCCAGCCAACAGCGTCCTGTGACCACTGATGAAGGACTAGAGGATGACCAACACAAACTGTGCAGCAGCAGATGAGCTATTGTCTCTGACTTTACATCTACAAGGTGGACCAACAAGGTAGGAGTGTCTAATAGAGTGGACAGTGAGTGGACACCACTCAGCAGCACTGCTGTGTCTGATCCACTCGTACCAGCACAACACACACTAACACACCACCACCACGTCAGTGTCACTGCAGTGCTGAGAATGATCCACCACCCAAATAGTACCTGCTCTGTGAGGGTCCATGGGGGTCCTGACCACTGAAGAACAGGGTAAAAGGGGGCTAACAAAGTATCAGAGAAACAGATGGACTACAGTCTGTAACTGTAGAACTACAAAGTGCACCTATATAGTAAGTGGAGCTGATAAAATGGACAATGAGCGTAGAAACAAGGAGGTGGTCATAATGTAACGCCTGATTGGTGTGTAAATATATATATATATGTATATATATATATATGTATGTATATATTTGTCTGTGTGTCTGTCTATGCTGTCTCGTATGTGCATTTGCCTTAGTTATATTTACGTATATTTGTAAATATGTTTAAATTCAAAGTTCACTTTGACTGTAAAAATAGTATGTGACTGGTACGTGATCCAGTATGAGTGTTTCTTACATGAGCATAGTTGGTTTTCAGTGTAAGAGTGTGTGGTAGGAAGATTCAATGTGAGAGAATGTGTGTGTTGTTGTAGATCTACTGTTTATGTCTAAAAGTTTGACACCTGCAGATCCAGCATTTCTTCTCAAATCAAGGGTAGTAAAGGGCAATTCCTCAGATTTTTCAAAATTTCTCCATAATTCAGTGTTTGGGATGTAAACCGAGAGATTCAGAGTGGTTTGGTGTGAAATGGTTCAGATGTCTTTACAGTGGTGGTGATAGGAACCAGGGGTCGCCATGACTACAACACAGATATAGACATTTTATTTACTATCCAGAACCACCAGTGAACCTACACGAGTCTTCTGAGTTTATATGGAATGTTGATGATGTGAAAATAGTCGATAATCTGAAATAATAAGTTTTCTTTGGGGACTATTTTGCCTCGCAACACCCTGCATGTATCCCTCCACCATGAATGGATTAAAAAAAAAACCACACAATTTAGTCCAAAATCTTCTCAAAACTATCATAAAACAGTGTCTCAGTCATCAGGCAGTGAATTCATAACCATTTCATGTAGGAACTTTCTGTGAGGGAGCTTTTAGAGGTGGACGTCTGGTTCCTATCACCACCACTATGAACAGTTCTGACTCTGTAAGTTTATCTAGAACAGAGCGTTTCACACCAAACCACTCTGTTTACATCTCAACCACTGAATTATTAATGAATTTAGAAAAATAGGCGGAATTCCCCTTTAATAACGCGGTAAAGTGTGTGTGAACGATACAGTCAAAACAGTTCACAGTGAGTTTAGTCATTTTACGGGTTTTGCAGGTTCATTATTAGCGGTTCAGGTGAATAAATAAAGTGAGTAAAAACTGCAGTTCTGTCTAAAACCCGTTTACACAAGGATTACGTTGGCTTCTTATTGGAATTATCCGTTCCACCTTAAATGGTGCAGCAGCCTATACGGCGCCTCAGGTGCCAGAATGAAACTGCTGAGCATTTAAGGTGGAACGGATAATTCCAGTAAGAAGCCAACTTCGGCTTCGTTCCGCTTCCGCCACATACTCCGTTAGCCTGCGAGCTAACCGGCTACACAAACCCCGTAAACTTGTTTCTACCCAGTTAAACAAAAGCCTGTCGGTCTAGATTACATTCGCTGCCTTATATGAGATTAAGAAACCCGTTTTGGAGAAAATGCGAGCGTGTTTGTGCGAGTATTTACCGTTTTTCCTCTCCGCTTTCTCTCACTCTCTCGCTTTTCCTCTACGCCGCCCAGAGGCCCCGCCCACTGCCACGCCGAGGATACGCCCACCCCTTTCATCCCCACCAATAGCGCGACTGGGCTCGACGGCGTCCGTCCAATCAGTACTCCGCACCCCATCGGAGGGGCGGGACAGAGAGCGGAAGAGTCTTAGATTTTGCGCAAATAAAAGTGCCCCGTAGATAAAAACAGGAAAGAAAAACAGGGAAAAGGAGAAAAACTTGAACACTGGATTTCAATCAAGCCTCTTCATCCGCGAATTAAGCCAAATTAAAGAATGGAGAATTAAAGAATAATAAAAAATGAGGTTAAACTTTCAAACCTGTTGATAAATTGAAGAGTGGAAACATCAGAAAATGAAATAAAACTAATTAGAAATCAGCTCAGTCGTCTAAATCAGTGAAGGGAATTAAACAGAGAGGAGACGAAAAGGTGATGTGAAACTGGGGCGGTTTGAATGGACTAAAGGACTCATCCTGCTCGTACTTTGTGAGGATGTGGCCATTTCTTTATTCAGGCTAATAAATATTCATTTCAGTCATTACGCACTCTCAGCATCCTTTTACTGAATATATATAGAGACACTAGGACTTTTATGAATGACTTTATTTCACTGAATTGACCAATTAATATTAAAATATTCTCTTCCATAAAATCTGAAATAAAGTTTCTAATTTGAGGCAGATCATGTTTTTTCATTTTAGCTTACATATTACACACACACACAAACACACACACACACACACACACACGTCTACTTTTATTTTGTATTTATTCTGATTAGCACACAAGCCACCAGTTTGTTTACTTGTATTCAAAAAAATCTTTTTACCACTTACCTTTTCTTAGCTCACATTATTTTTGCTATTTATTTTTACGTGTCTTTATGGCTTCTAATACAAAACACAATCACCAAAACTTTGAGCACTGAAAAAAAATGTTCCTCTTTAAATTTACACATGAATAACCATATTACAGACACAATTTCTTGATATTGGTTTACTTTAAGCAGTTTTATTTTTGATTGTATTGATGTTACGTTATTCATGTTCACACATTTGAATCAGTTCAATTTAAACCAACATTTATTAGTGACTTTTCAGTGTCAGGCTATTCTCTATGTTTAATACATGTACTGTTCAACTGATAGAAAATTGGAGCTCCATGACAGCGGCTGACATTTACATTTCTGCTTTATTTATCCGGGATATTTTGTGCTTTCACTGATAATAAACCTGCTGTGTTGCCTCTTCAACAGTTTTAAACAGTGTATTGAGCTTAAACTCAAAATCCTTTACATGATTCAGTGTAACGTGGAGACGCATCAGAACCAAAGACGCAAATCAGTCAGATGAGACGTGGTAATAACATTAGATGTTTATTGTGATAGTTTACTAGAATTTAATGTACAGTCACACACAAATGAAAAGAGTACTGAGGGTGCGGTCTACTCGTCCGATGACGAGGGGAGAACGATCTTGCTGGGGTCGTAGTAGTTCTCGTCGATGAGCGGAAGCCCCTGAGCCTCTCTCTGTTTGATCAGCAGCTCAGCCTCGCGGCGAGCCCACTGCCTCATACTGCAGAGAAAAGAGAAGAACAGACAGTCGTTATCCCCCCAGCCCTGACTCCCGCGGTCTACACACTTTGCCTTCACTCGTACGCTCACTGTACTGATGGTTATACCCAGTGGGGAGAACTCCTGGTGCCAGTTACTGTGATATAATGAACAAATTAGGGCCGGCAATTAATCGAATTTACAATATCTTGTGGCGCGGGTCTAGCTTTCGGTGTTGTGTGCAGGAGCAGGCGGGAAACCAGCCCCCTGCAGGCGGGAGTGGGACAAAGCACGCATGAAGTGAAATCCTGCAAATTAATGAACATCCTAAATAAAGTAGAACAATCACTAAATCATATATAAACAATATAAATTGACAACAGTAAAACAATTAAAATGAATGAAGTTGTTCTAAAGAGCTGCAAAGCAGCCGATCATGTAAACAACTGGCAGACTCTTGTATCTTACAGAGACAGCGGAGCCTTCAGTCCGACGGCCAGTCTGACTCCTGCTTTGTGTTTAAATGGTGAATAAAAGGCATTTGGTGAAGTTAGTCACAGTGAGTCTGATGGCCATGACTGACCTGTTATTTCAACACAGAGTAAGGCGTTTGTGAATACACTGTGTCAGATATTGGATGTCGGTTTGCCTTGATGGAGCTGTGCGGGCGGGAGGGAGCGGGACTAATGATTCAGACCTTCTGTGGGAGCGGAGGCGAAATGAAATCCCGCAGGAGTGGGCGGGAGCGGGACTGAAAAAAAATAAGGTCACGCTCAGAACTCTGTTTCCAGCGATTATGAAGGCAAGATTATCGAGATAAAACGATTATTGTGCCACATTCTGTTTCACAATGACGCTCTCGTTTTGGTTTGTGTTATAAATCCAGCCTAACCCTTTCCTTTACAGCGATGCACTTTTACCCCTCCCTAAAAACCCAGACTCTCTCTCAGCCAGGCTGTGGTGTACTTACTTCAGCTCGAGCCAAGAGGACAAGAGAACTTCAGGGTTCAAAAAGCGTTCTTCTATTTTTACAGGCTTCACATCATAACAATAGCAGAACGCTTTTATGGTGCTGTATAGAACCGTTTTCAGAAAGGTTCCATATAGAACTATCTACAGTACTTGCTCCATCAATCTGAAGAACGCTTTACTGATACAAAGGGTTCTGAGTGTTTATGGTTCTATATAGAACCATTTTCTTTGCTAAACAACCCTTAAAGAACTATAATTTTTAGGAGTGTAGATTAAAGTAACTTTAATCTACACTAAAGGAAGTCAAACAGCCTAAATCCTTTATTCTTCTTGATGTGTGCTGTGTGTATACGTTCTTTTATAAATCGGTCTACATCACTGTCTGAGATATGAGGAAGGTCCTCAGGATGACTCGTGAAGCTCCTTACTTCCATGTTTTGAAATGACTGGCAGGCTAACCGGATGTGTTGTTACCTGCTTTGTCTCTATTTCCTCTTAACGGCGTCAGAGTGTGAAAGGGTCTATTTAAAGCCCTTCTTCAGCAATGATGTTGGAGCTTTACTCACTTTAGCCACCATAAACATCCCTAACTTGCACTTTTGGCAAATCCTTCACACACCATGTATAAATAGGAGCCACAATTAATCTATTAGTCAGGCTAATATTGGTGACAGATAGGCTGGCTGTCTCACGTTGCTCTCAGAATACAATTAAACAATAAAATTGACTAAGGACAGTTTGTATACTAACTCAGACAGCAAGCATAAATCGATCAGGCGTAACATTCTGGACCCCCATGGACCCTCACAGAGCAGGTACTATTTGGGTGGTGGTTCATTCTCAGCACTGCAGTAACACTGACGTGGTGGTGGTGTGTAAGAAGAACGGAAGAACTGAAGAACAGGGTAAAAGGTCATAACGTTATGCCTCATCGGTATATCGGTCTGCTGACTTGATGAGGTCGGCACCCCACTGACTGTTTGTCATTACTGTCCTACATATAAACTCTAACTGGTTTTTAATCTCCTCAAACAGATTTCAGATGCACAGAGACAGTTTTAAATGATTTTAAAGAAAATATAGCTGACGCTGAGCTGGATTAAAATTATTTACTAACTAATTTACAAAGTATGACTAAAGAAAGGAAGGAAGGAAAAATCAGTAAATTGGACTGTGAGTGGAAAATGAGTGATGATAAGTGGAATTTTGTCCATTACTCTGCTTAAACACTGGTAGACCACCCAGAAAATGCTGAGCAAAAGGCCAGTGGACCGCAAGCTCTGCCATCAGCGGGCTGACAGCAGCCCACTATCGTCTTCGTACCAGACTCTCATGTTCATCTGAATGGTTTCACTACTGTGAGGGCGGACAGGGACCACAAGGAAACGGGTAAGAAGAAAGGAGGAGGGCTGGCTGAGGTCCTGAATAACAGACGGTGTAATCCTGGTCACATCACGGTTAAAGAAGTAATCTGTAAACTGGACATTGAACTGTGTGTTGTAGCTCTGCGTCCGTACTATCTCCCACGCGAGTTTTCTCACGCCATTCTGTGTGCTGTGTACGTCCCACCTTCTGCTAACGCGGACGCTGTGTGTGACGTCATCCACTCGACCATTGCGAGGGTGCAAAACCACAGCCTTAGTGCATTCATCGCAGTGTCTGGAGACTTCAATCACGTTACCCTCTCATCATGTCTGCCACTTTCAGCCAGTTTGTGGACTGCAAGACAAGAGAGAACAAGACTCTGGACCTGCTGTATGCCAGTGTCAAAGAAGCATACAAATCCACAGCTCTTCCTCCACTGGGCCGTTCAGACCATAACCTGCTTCACCTCACTTCATAGTACAAGCCCACGGTTCAGAGACAGGCAGTGACCACACAGACAGTGAGGAAGTGGTCACATGAGGCTGTAGAATCACTGAGGGGCTGTCTGGAGGCTACACAATGGGATGTCCTGTGTGAACCACAAGGAGAGGACATTGATGCAGTAACATCATGCATCTCTGACTACATCAACGTCCGTGTGGACTCTGTTGTACCCTACAGGACTGTCCGATGCTGAACCAGAAGAAAAGAGCATTTATGGCAGGAGACAGGGAGGAACTGAAGAGGTACAAAAAGAGCTTAAAACCTCAATTAAGAAGGCCAAAGAGGAGCACAAGTACAAGCTGGAAAACAAACTAGAGCTGAATAACACTCGTGATGTCTGGAGAGGCCTGAAAGACATCACTGGCTCCAACCAACGCAGCCCTATTCCAGCAGAGGAAAAGCGTGAATGGGCAAATCAGTTAAACCAGTTTTTTGTGTGGTTTGACAACGGCTCCTCTCCTGCTCCACTGCGTCTGTCTCCTACACAGATTAACACTCCTACACATCCACAGCCTCACCTTCCTCCACCACAGCCATTCACACCTGTGACCATCAGCAACCACTGTCTGCAGTGGACACCTCTCACCCTTCCCCCACAACTGGAATGTGCAGTGATATTACATTCACTGCTAATCAGT